GGCTACCTATTAAAGTCGACCGTTACCTCATTTAAGACCATTACGGCGCGACCGTTTGGTCCAAACATTTAATCGTTGACCGTTACGACCGTTCACCTCTTCTGTCACGACTGCTTGAAGATTATCCGAAATTCACCAAGTGTCTTCACCTCGGAATACAGTCTACACTTCGGACAAATGACTCACTTCGGTTACATCGGACTCGAAAGACCGAAGATGACCCTCCGAAGATCATAGACCACGTCCTACCGCCGACTTCTTACCGATCCAGGGTCTCTAAATGTCTGGCATAGCAACATCAACGACCATCACTCCGTATGCCCATTGATGTTGGGGGCCTCTCTGTTATCATCCGGATCGGTAAACCTGCATTAAGAGATTCCAAACGACACATTAAAAGGAAGATGATCATTGAACCGATGCAATTTCAAACACCACCCCGGTTCAGGCGACAAACCGGACCGAACTACCGAAGACCGGAGCGATAAACATCTACCGAGGTCAACATCTACCGAGGTCAACATGAACCGAGCTCCTTAAGCAGGTGACAAGGTGCCTACGAACAACCCTCCTGCTCCACAAGATCCATCATCATTGATGTGGGACCCCCTGCCTCAAGCCGCCCAAAAAAGTCACTTTATTCAAAAAAGTAACGCACGGATCCCAATGTATCAACCCGAAAATACTATACATAGCGGACCCATGACATTTGTACGGGGATCTCTCTCCGAACTGAAAAAAACTTTACCAAGTAGCACGTAAAAGCCCATCACGGCTCTTCACCTCGGTTCACCTCGGACCGAGGCCATTGTTGATTTAATCTTACATGCTTTACGTCCAAATCATTCAAAATTGTCCACTTAATCACAAGTTACATCGTTGTTAAAAATCACATAACAACAGAGAGAGAGAGAAAAAAAAAGAAGGAGCATAAAGAGAAGATAGAGGAAGAGCTGAAAGCTCAAAAGAAAAAGAAAGGAAAAGAGAAGGAGAAACTTGAACAGAAACAACTCAACATTTCAAAAGCTAGTTCAATGGACCGAGAAATTTATGATTGGATATTGGATAATAATGAGGAAACAAGGTAAATTATCATACTTCAGATTTTTTTTGTCATTTAGTTTCAGTTATTATTTACAATTTATAATTTATTGTTCTTTTTTATTTATGTTTTTTCAGGTATGAGACAATTTTCCAGAATGGTGATCTGATTCTAATGAGAGATCATATTATGTCTTTATGACCGGATAGCTATATCATTGTGTCTGTGCTGGATACCTGGTGCAGGATATTGAATTTGAGAGAACTGAATTTGAGAAAACCAGATATGCCACTAAGATTTTTTGGATCCTCGTATTCTAGTGTAAGTTTTCTTATTAAATTGAATATTTTTTTTTATTTTGTTATTTTCTGTGCTTGAATATCTCTTTTGATAGTTGTTTAGTTAGTTGTTTTGAAGTTGCTAGGTTAGTTTTCTAATATTGCTAGGTTAGTTTTATGATGTTTTGATAGTTGTCT